AAAATTCTGTCGTGGATGTCAGAAGCTAAACATTACTTATCTTCCCAGCATTTTTTGTCTTCGATAATCCTAACTTCACTTCCAAAGCAAGCAGATAATCGCAGTGACCAGGAAGAAGGTCACATGCACAGAAACACAAAAGAGAAATGCCAGTTATTCCATTTTTCAAAATAGGATCCTGCTTACATCATTCAAGACTTCCTATTTGACTTAGGGTAAGTCCAAAATGTGTAAGACTGTTCTTTGGGGTCTGAGCCTCACGTATCCCTTAGCCTCAGCTGATCAAACTCCCAGCCTCACACCATGCACGGCAAACAACCTAGACCTTTCTCAGTCCTCTTAGCACATTTTGCTCAGGACCTTCCTAATAGCTTCCGGGTGGTCTGGAAAGCTCTTTGCCTCTCTCTTGAATTGACCAAATCTTGTTCATTTCTCAGGTTTCGATTTAAATTTTTTTTTTTCAACGTTTATTTATTTTTGGGACAGAGAGAGACAGAGCATGAACGGGGGAGGAGCAGAGAGAGAGGGAGACACAGAATCGGAAACAGGCTCCAGGCTCTGAGCCATCAGCCCAGAGCCCGACGCGGGGCTCGAACTCACGGACCGCGAGATCGTGACCTGGCTGAAGTCGGACGCTTAACCGACTGCGCCACCCAGGCACCCCTCAGGTTTCGATTTAAAGGTCACTGTCTTCAAGAGGAATTCCCTGACCCATGGCATCCCTCAGAATACATTGTGCCCTTATGACTTTTGAATTAATTATTTTATATGATGTATCAAGTACCTCTGTTTCCCATGGAAACATCAGCTGGAGGAGGGCGAGAACGATGTTTGTCTGTCCTGGCACATCATCACATCATCCTAATCTCTAATCTGGATTAGAAAGATGAGTTCCTAAGGGTGCCTGGGTGGCTCTGTCGGCTAAGCGTCTGACTGGATTTTGGTCACCATCAGGTCACCATCTCGCGGTTTGTGAGTTCGAGCCCCACATGGGGCTCTGCGCTATCCATGCGGAGCCTGCTTGGGATTCTCTCTCCCTTTCTCTCTTCCTCTCCCTCTCTGTCAAAAAAAGATAAATTAAAAAAAAAAAAAAAGAAAGATGAGTTTCTAAAATGCAAGTGTGCTTAAAATTCTTCCTCTTCACACTCAGGTTAAAGTCAAGCTACTCCATGTAGCCTCCAAGGCCCTGCATGCTCTGGCCTCATCTCCCACCTGCCTCCCCTTCAGTGTCCACCTAGACACTACGTCTTTCAGAGTATTAAAGCGGCTGAACCTTTGCCTCCAAGGTTTCAGATATGAAATGATGAAATGATATGCTTTGCAGATTTGTATCCATCCTTCAGCTCTTAGCTGAGAGCTCTATTGATTGGTTGACTGGCTTGTTCATTCATCCTGGTTCTATGTGCCAGGAACTCTCGTAAGTCCTAAGGAAACGGTTGAATCAGACAGATGCGGGTCCCCGTCCCCCGGTCTCTTCCCTGACCACCCAAACCCTGAGGCTCGGTGATGTGTCTCTTCTACGGCTCCCCTGCCTCTCTGAAAAATCCACAGTATTGCCTGATCACACGTCGTAATGACGGTTCCCCTGTCTCCCCTGCTAGCTCATGAGCTATTCGTTGAATGAATTTATGAACCAAGTCCTTTGCTCACAATAGTTCAAAGAAATAGGAAATGCCATAGAGTGGATTCGCTGGACCACAAATACCGTGAGCAGGAGGCACAGGGCGCCATGGACAAGGGGGTGGGGCCAGAGGCAAAGTCAGCAAGAGAGGTCTCTCCTCCTCCTCCTTCCTCAGGAAGTTACAGAAAGTGTGGTCTGAGAAATGTGTGTGGAACCGGACACAGATTCTGTTTATTCTATAACCAGAATAGGTAAACCCAAAGAGGCTGAATGGTTGGCGGTTGCCAGGGGCGAGGGAGAAAGAGGAAAGGGGAGTGATAGCTTCGTGGGGTTTTCTTTGGGGATAATGCAAATGTTTCAAAAGTAGGTACAGGTAGTGGTTACACAACATCGTGAATGTACTGAATGCCACTGAACTCTATACACTTTTAAGATGATTAACGCTGTTCTGTGAATTTCACCTCAGGAAGGAAGGAAGGAAGGAAGGAAGGACAGGCAGACACGTAGCTGGAGTGAGAGGTGGGTGTGTGGGGGCAGTTTCTCTTCCTCTGCCAGTCCCTGATGGGGGCACAGTGACGCCTAGGACTCTGGGGCTGGCTGAGTCGGCTCTGAAAGGAGGAAGGGCTTCCCAGAGCCACCTGGTTCTCCTCCAGGTCCAGGTAAGCTTGGGACACCTGGGCACTGTGCAAGAGCATCACAAGCCTCTCAGCTGCAGGGACCAGATGGCGGCCTTTCCCGGATGGGGCGGGAAAGGAATGCTTTGGGACACATCCGCACCAAGAATCAGTTCTCAAAAGCAATGGCGAGTAAGTGTGAATGTGTTTGTGAGGGCCTGTCTAGCGGATGGTCAATGCCGCCAGAGGAAACCGCCCATAATTTGGAACCAGAAGGATTGCTTGTTGGTCCCTGCTCTGCCAACTAATGGCTACATAGTCATAAGTTAGGCACTTTTTAGTTCTGAGTAAAAAAATTAAAGCCACACGATTACTGGTGGAGAGACAAAATGGTACAGCCACTTTGGAAGACAATTTGACAGTTTCTCACAAAACTAAACCTGCTCTTTATAAACCTGCAATGGTGTTCCTAGGTATTCATCCAAAAGAGTTGAAAACCCTGCACGCAGATGTTTATAGCGGCTTTATTCATAAATGCCAACCAAGACGTCCTTCAGTGGATGGATGGGTAAATGAACCGTGGTCCATCCGGACACTGGAATATTCTTTAGCACTAAAGAAATGAGCTGCCAAGCCATGAAAAGATATGGAAGAACCTTACATGCCTATTACTCTGTGGAAAGAAGCCAAACCACAAAGGCTACAGCACTGTACGATTCCAACTACGTGACATTCTGGAAGAGGAAAAACTACAGAGACAATAAAAAGATCAGTTGCCAAGGGTTAGAGGGGAGGGAGGGCTGAATGGGCAGAGCACAGAGGATTTCTAGGCGGTGAAACTACTCTGTACGATACCACAATGATGGAGAGAGGGCGTTCGTTATGCATTTGCTCGAGCCCACAGAATGTACGACACCCGGAGTGAGTGCTAATGTAAATGATGGGCTTTGGGTGATAATGACGGGTCGTTGGTGGGCCCACATGACTGAATGCAGGTTCGTGGACCGTCAGCTGTACGGCTCTGGTGGGGATGTGGACAGTGAGGGGCCGTGGGCTTATATGGGAAATCTTTGCATACTCCTCTCAATGTTGCCGTCATCCTAACGCTGCTCTAAAAAAAATAGTTTATTTAAAGAAAAAGGGACTGGAGGGGTGCCTGGGTGGCTCAATCGGTTAAGCGTCCGACTTCGGCTCAGGTCATGATCTCACGGTTTGTGGGTTTGAGCCCCGCGTCAGGCTCTGAGAGGACAGCTCAGAGCCTAGACCCTGCTTCGGATTCTGTGTCTTCCTCTCTCTCTCTCTCTCTCTCTCTCTCTCTCTCGGCCCTTCCCTGCTCACACTGTGTGTCTCTCTCTCTCTCAAAAATAAACAAACATTTAAAAAAAATAATTTAAAAAAATAAAAAAGGGACTTGAACAAAAAAAGCTCTCACTGTCGAGGGCTCGCTCTTCAGGAGCAGGACTCTGAGCATTGCACATCCATGTGTCATTTAGTCCTTATAACCATCAGATGGCTGACGTGTCCAAGGCCAACCAGCTGGTCATTGAAGAGCCACAAGTGACTCTGAAGCACCCGCTCTTGGCCACCTCTCTGCCCCAGCTGAGTGTGGAAATGATGATGATGCCCTCCCCTGCCTGGGTGGTTATGAGCAGTAAATGGGCCTGGGGGGAAAGGTCCTTTGGAGAGGCTTCCAGAGAAGCTATTATTTGATGGAGTGGAAGAGGAGGAAGTTGCTGTGTAAAGGGTATGCGTGGAAGGCTCTTGGAAAGAGGAGCTCAGATTAAACTCAAGGCAGTCGCCGTTCTCAGGCCTGTGAGAACCAAGCATGTGGATTGTGGGGGTGCCAGGCTCTGGCCTCTTACCCTGGCACTCCGGGGTCCTGGGGGCAGGCCGGGGCCATCCCCACCCATCCCCTGCACTCCTGGCCGGGAGCCCGGTCCTCGTGGCCTCTCCGGCCTGGCAGTGAGGTGGAGCTTAATGAAACCCTGGTGGCTTCCCCTGATTTTTCCCGCTGAGGATGGAGTGCAGAGCAGACCCGGAGGGGTCTAGAGCCACGTTAGCGGCCATTCAAGGCTTTCAGTTGCGCCAGGTCACTCGTTAGCTGCATGGCCTTGGACAAATGGAAAATGGAATTTCCAAAACGAGGATTCAAATACCGACCGCGCAGGGTTGTTGTAGGATTACATGAGATAATGTGCGTAAGGTGACTCAGATGCAGTAAACCTTGCATAATGATTAATGCTATCATTAGGCAGCCGTCCTTCCTTATTACAACATGAGGGACAGGGACCCAGACGAGGGATGGGGACCCAGAGATTAGAAGCAAGTCATTCAAGGCCTCGCAGCCAGTTCGCGGCAGGTCTGGGCTTCCTCTGCAATCGTCTCCACCCCTGCCTTGGTCAAGTCTTTTCTGAGAATCCCTCACCCAGGGGTGAATTGACAGGGATGCATTTCACACCTGAACAATGCCCCCTCGCTCGCTCGCTTGGGCAATGGGCTGTTACTGTTTCCCAGCTCTGCCACTGATTGGCAAACCGGGATGATTTGGTTGAGCTCCTCTGGACTGAGGTTCTACCCGGCTTCCTGGGAGACGGGCCTCCTGTGGGAGACAGCTGGGCTCCAAGGGATCAGCACATCTCTCTCTCTCTCTCTCTCTTTCCCCTTCCTTGAGTGAGTTTAGCATTCCAGAGCCCCTGGCCTGCAGCCGGAATCAGTATCCAGATACCTCCCACTCCCAGCTCTCCCGAATGGACCCGGACTCATCAGCATTTCTCTGACCTGGTGACACTTAGCCCCGCCTCTGAAAAGTGCAGCCTGGGATATAGATCTTCTGTGCAGTTAAAGTGACTTAAAAGTATTTCTTTTTGGAAATCTTCACAGCCATTCCAGAGATCATGACGGACACCTCGGCCCCGTGAAACAGAGCTGAGGAGTTCTGGCTCCCATAAAGCTGTCTCTGACACCCCAAAGCCAGGCATTGACTGACCAACAGTCTTTGCCCCCCCCCCCCCCGGGGCAAACCTTCCCGCTGGTGTCTCCGCCCCTCTGGAACCCCCACTTCCTCCTTGTCCTCCTCCCACCCGGGAGGCCATGGCTACTGTCATTCCCCACTCCCCAGAGCCAGCTCTCCTTTGGCGTCCCTGTGCCCTGCTCCCAGAGCCACCCCAGGAGCAGGGGTGAGGTTAGAGACATGGTAGCATGGGACCCTGAAGGGGCCCTCTGCTTGCCAAGCCCAGCTGGGGCATCCACGGAGAGTCCACACGAATGACCCCCAGCACTTAAGCAGCGGGCCTCCAATGCTCCAGCTGTTCCAAACACTTACCAGATGGTAATCTATCATAGCAGATACTATCATTACTCCCCTTTAGAGATGGGGAGATTGAGACCCAGAGAGGCGAAGTAACTTGTCCAATGCCACACAGCTTGAAACTGGCAGATTTGAGATTTGAGCCCATCATCTGGGCCAGTGTGCCACTGGAACACCGGAGACGGCCACCCCCTTACTTAATTCCACTCACCCATCACCTCTTCCCTCGGCCACTGACAGGTGCCTTCTGTCATGTCTCCAGCCACATCCTCGGGACACGGCTGTGTTCTCGCTGCAAGAAAGGACAAGTGCCCGGGGCGGAGGGCCCCAGGTTGAAGCCCCTCTGCCTGCTTTCCCTGCCCTGCGGGCCCAGTCTCCTCCCCACCTGGGAACCCTTCAGGGATGCTATGATCTGAACGTTTGTGTCCCCCCCGCCAAATTCATGTGTTGAAAGCTAACCCCCAAGGTGATGGCATTAGGAACTGGGGCCTTTCGGAGGTGATTAGGTCATACACGGGCTTAGCGCCTTTATAAAAATGGCCCCGGAGAGATCCCTCGCCCCGCTTCTAGCATGTGAAGACACAACAAGAAATCAGCAGCCTGCAACCCAGAGGACCCTCAGCCGGCCATACTGCCACCCTGACCTTGGACTTCCAGCCTCCAGCCTCCAGAAATGTGACAAATAAATTCTCGGGTTTATAAGCCACTGACCTGGTCTGTGCCATTTTGTTATAGTGGCCCCAAAGGACTAAGAGAAGTGGCTTAGTGTGGCCACCTCGCTGCCAGGACGATCTGAGGCAGCAGGTCTGGGGGCAGGTCTGGAAGCACTCTCAGCTCGGAGGGGCCGCCTGAGACCGTGGCCTGCAAACCTGCACCTGCTTCCGGGCTGAGGATGTGAATGGGACACCCAGAAGTGGGGGGCGGGAGGGGGTGAGGGAAAGAATTGCCTCCAGCGCCGGCCCTACCTGTCTCCTTCGTCACCCCTCCTTGTCTGCATCAGCTGCTCTAGGAGCAGACCCTGCCCAGCCCCCTGCCACCTTCTCCTTGCCTTTTCTCCTCCAGCCCGGACCCTCTCTTCCATCAACACACACAGCCTTGGTTCACTTCCATCCAATGAGGAAACGTCCACAACACCGCTGGGCACAGGGCCCGGCAGGTAGGGGCTCAATAGGTGCGAGCTCCCTTTCCTTTTGCCCGTCAGCTCCCCTGGGCCTGGCCGCGGCCATGCAGCCGGGTCATTCACCTTTAGGCCTGCTGTCATGGTTGACGCTTTTCTCCCTCCTCTCCACCTAGGAAACTCTTTCTCCTCCTTCAGAACTCAACAGAGGTGTCGCTTCAGGCAGTGAGGGGCCCCCACCCCGGCTGCCACAGTGCTCTGCTCACGCTTCTCAGAAAACTTTCCTAGAGGTTCTGATGCTGTGGGTTTGTTTGGTGTCTCTAGACCCAGCTCGAAAGGGTGAGTACACATCTCTTCCTTTTGTCTTTGACTTACTTAAAATTCCTAAAAATTGCCCAAGTAATTCATGAGTGTGTGCATACTGTAAAAAAAAAAAAAAAAAAAAGGCACAATGCACAAAAATATAAGCCCCAATCCCTCCCCAGAAAATACCACAGTTAATAGCTTTGTGAGTATAAATCTGTATAAATTGATTTAGTATCTTCTTACATAAATGAGATTAACCTACGTACATTGTTCTATGGCTTGCTTTTGTCATTTAATAATAGATTGTATGGCGGCGCCTGGGCGGCTTAGTCCGTTGAGCGTCTGACTTCGGTTCGGGTCGTGATATCCCAGTTCATGAGTTCAAGCCTGGCATCAGGCTCGCTGCTGTCAGCACAGAGCCAGCTTTGTATCCTCTGTCCCCCTCTCTGCTCCTCCCCCTCTAGTGCTCTCTCAAAAAAAAAATTTTTTTAAATAATAGATTGTATGTGTGGTAGGCAGAATAATGCCCCTTCTCCCAAAAATGTACATGTTCTAATCCCCCAAATCTGTGAATATGTGACCTTGTATGGTGAAAGGGACTTTGCAGAAAAGTCCTGAGGAAAAAAAGGTTATTTATGCTGGATCATCTGGACGGTCTCAATGTAAGCATAAGGATCTTTGTAAGAGGGAGGTAGGAGGGTCAGAAAAAGATTTGAAGATGCTACTCTGTTGGCTTTGAAATGAAGAAGCAGGGGGGGTGCTGGGTGCTCAGGTGGTTAAGCGTCCGACTCTTGGTTTCGGCTCAGGTCGTGATGTCACAGTTCATGAGTTTGAGCTACGCATTGGGCTCTGAGCTGACAGCGTGGAGCCTGCTTGGGATTCTCTCTTTCCCTCTCTCTCTCTCTCTCTCTACCCCTCCTGTGCTCATTCTCTCTCTCTCTCTCTCTCAAAATAAATAAATAAACTTAAAAAAAATAAAATAAAATGAAGGAAAAGGACACAGACAAGGAAGGCGGGTATCTTCTAAAAGCTGGAGAAGGCAAGGAAATGGATTCTCTGGAGCCCTCAGAAGGGAATACAGCTCAGCAGAGCCCCTGTTTTTAGCCCGGTGGGATTTTTGACCTATGGAACCGTAAGATAATACATTGTGTTATCTTAAGCCAATAAATTTGTGGTAACTTGTTATAGCAGCAACAGAAAACTAATGTGTGCTTGAGGTGGTGTATTAGATTGCCAGGGATGCCATAGCAAAATGGCACAGACTGGATGGCTTAAAACAACAGAAATTTATTTTCTCATAGCCCCAGAGGCTAGGAGTCCAAGATCAGGTGCCCACAAAGTTAGTTTCTCCAGACGCCTCTCTCCTTCTCATGCGGATGGCCATCTTCTTGTTATCTCTTCACGTGTTCCTTTCTCTGTGTGCCCATCTTTTTGTCTCTTCCTTTTATAAGGATGCCAGCCAGATTGGATTAGAGTCCCCCCCTAATGGCCTCCTTTTAACTTAATCACTCCATTAAAGGCCTTATTTCCAAGTAAATTCCAATTCCGAGGGATTGGGAACTAGGCTTCCGCAGTATGAATTTGCAAGAGACGCAATTCCACCCATAATGTGTGGCCAATCTCATTCACTTTCCAAAGTCACCCAGTGAATTAGAACCATGATTATCATAATTTTATAGGTAAGGAAACAGGCACAGAAAGGTTAAGTTACTCACCCAAATTTACACAGCAAGTAAGTGGCAAGGCCAGTCTGGGAATTGACTGTTTACATACTTCACCCATTTTTCTATGAGGTGATTTTTCTTTTTGGTTTGCAGGTGCACAGGTGTTCAGTAAGCATTGATTGATTGAAGGAATGAGTGGGAGCAGTTCCCAGGACTCCTAGAAGAACATGGGCCAGGCTGGGCCAAGCTTGGGTTTCCCTTCCTACCTCTCCAGGTTAGCAATACTTACCTCCAGGAGAAAACCAAAAGACAAGCAGGAGGTGGGTGTCCACAGAGGATGGTGGGAGTGGGAAGGTACCACCCTCTATTCATCAACTGAACACAATCCCGGGAGACTTTCTGGAGGAGGGCGATGGTCTGGTGTCTCCTAACCCTCGGGGAACCATGGCAGACAATTTTGTAGCTTGGGGTATCCCATGGACAGTCCTGGGGTGCTAGTGCTGAATCTCTCCACCTCCAATTCCACATTCCAGGTTCCAGGTACTCAGGTGTCTCAAGAGAGCTCTTCCTCAATATGAAAAATCTAGGCCAGCTGCAAAGAAAAGACGGTAGATGTCTCTGCCAGCTGTCTCCTGGACATTGGCAGGTGGCCAACACTCACAACCCAGGCAGGGCTTGCCTTGACCTGGCCTGACAATTCATTCTGGTCACTGTGGCAAAGGGGATAGCTACCCAGGAGGCTTAGGCAGGTCTATGGCTAGCTGCCCAAATCAATGGGAATGCCCCAGTTACCTCTCAGGGAGGGCAAATAATGATGGCCTCAACACACTCAGCCCTCAGATCAGAGCTCCAGAACTTCCCATGTCAGACCTTGCAGTGGTTCGGGGGCGACTATACTCACCCACAGCCCTGCTTCTTGACCCCTGCTCTCTACTCCAACCTAGTCTGACATGGATTAGATAGTAGAGACACTCAGCAAAAACTCTGTCTTGATCCAATATGGCGCTCAGAGTGGGGAATCTGGGGTCCAAATAGAAGCTGGATAATTCCCATTTCTTCATAGGCTCTTGGTGTGAAGAAGTGTCAATATCATGGAGTCCATTCTTCCTACTTGGTATTCTAAGGGTTGAGTTTCCTATATAACATTTCCAGAGCAGAGTGGTTACTCAGTCTTTGCGTGAACTCCTCCAGTGATAGGGACCTTACCACCTTACAAAGCAGCTAGTTTCATCCCCCGGCAGTTCTCATTGCTGGAGAGTTCACCCTTACATGATCCTTCCTTACACCGTGTTGCATCTGTTTCCTGCTCTCTCCGTCTATGGTCCCCACAGAAGATGGCCATTCCCTGTTCTTCATGGCTTTTCAGAGATTTGAAGGTAGCTACTGGGTCACTTCCTCTAAGAAAGAACATCATGGGGATTAACAGGAGGAAAATCCAGTCCTTTCAGACCTCAGGGAGGGTTTGCCCTGCTACAGAGAAACTGCTTTTCTATCCTTCTCTGTGGGCCTGTGCACGGGCCCAGGGCAACAATATGGTGAGTCTCTAGGCTCTTTGGACTACAGACACATAGCAAGCACATAGCCTTGCTAGGTGGGAGAACCTCAGCCTACTGTCTTCGTCCCAGGGGAGTGTTTCTGGGTCCCGGGAACCTGGCGATAAGGACATGGTGTCCTAGAGAGAGAGAGCTCTGTACTCAGAATTTGACCACAAGGCCCCCAGTCTTGGTTCCACCCCTTCCTGGTTGGGATCCTATAAGCAGGTTGCTTAAATTCTGAGCTTTAGTTTTGCCCTTTGTAAAGTGGGAAAATATCTCATTGTGTTGCTATGAGGATCAAATGACATCATATATAGGAAGATGCTTTGTCAACCAAAACATACTCTACAAATGATTAGCCAATTCAAGTGGTTAGTAAAAGGGCTTGCAGAGCTTAGAGCTTCTTTGGTCTGGGCCTTCCTAGCGGATGAGTGTCTGGAGCACAGCTGGTTTTAAGAAGGCTTCTGACTCCTTCTCAAACCCCATGGCTGGTCTGTGGCACCTGGAGGGGCTCTCTACTGAGGGTTCATGGTCCCATCCTGTATGACTCCTGCAGGGCCGCTGTGCCCACATCTCCAGAGAGGACTCCGGCCCAAGTACCTTACCCCAGGCTTTGGAGACCCGGAAAGAGTGGGTAAGCGTCACAAAGTGAAGGTTTGGGGTTGGGACTGGGCAGGAGGTGCAAGGCAGGGTCTCTGGGCTTGTAACTGGCTCTTCATTCTTCTCAGAGGCCCCAGGGCTGCCTGCCCAGAGCTGTGTCTGCCCAGCCTCTGCCATCACTCCCTGCCTAGCCTTTAATTTAGACAGAGTTTAATTCTAACCCCCCAAACTTGAATGGGTTTTATTGAGACCAGCAGTGGAGGGACTGAGACTCAGGGAACACAGCCTAATGACAGTGGAGGAATTACAAAGCGAGAGGGTCTCATTTAATCCAACCCCCTCATTGGGCAGATGAGGCCCCAGGAGGGGAAGGCTGCCCCAGGCGGGTGGTGGCCAGGTCGGGTTTTTTGTGTTTCTGCATGGGGTCTCCTTTGTCCCAAGCCAGGGATCTTTCCTGAAAGCTTTCTTGGCTCTGTGCAGACTCTGTGCCTCCAGCCTGTGGCCCGTGACTCCATCTGGGCTCCCTGACAGGCCTGAGTCCATGACCGGGCAAAGATGGATGCCGCCCTCACTCTCCCGGTGTCATGGGAGCAGAAAGGCCAGGAGCCTCCACAAATAGCAGCATGTTGCCACCTGCCTAACCCCAATCCGGTTTATCCTGAGTTAGCAGAAGCCCGTGAGGTGTACTTCCCAGGTGGGGCTGGGCTGGGCAGCCCATCCTTCCTCATGCCACACGGGGCCCCGAGGGTGGCAGTGCTGCAAATGGGGGGGGGGGGGGGGGGAAACCCGGGGGGAGGGGGGGCCGGGGCGGGGTTTCTAGGGGGTGCACGCTGCGGTGGGGCTGGGGGGCACGCAGACTGTTTCAGGGGGCACGTCCCTACCCACAGGGGGCAGCACCTACCCCAGGGGGCAGGAACATGGGCCAGTGGGGGCATTTGCCCAGCTGTAGTCACATACTGGGCAGGCTAGGCTATGCCGGGGTCCTCCTCTCTCTGGCTGCCCATCCTCTCTGCTTGGGCTCCCAGCTAGCTATAAAGCAGGAACAAGTCCCATCCCTTACCTGCCTGGGGGGACATTGAGCAGGAGTGAGATAATGTCTGCAGGCTCAGCCCTCCACGGAGGGAGGCAGCCTCTAAACACAGGTCTACTTTTACTGCCTAGAGCTCTGCCTGGCTCCCTCTGGGGGCCCCTGCTGCTCCCTGACCCCCAAGGAGACAGGAGCCTGGCCAGTGTGTAGGCCCCATGGACCCATCCTAGACATAGTGGAGGGAGCCCCCGAGCTCCAGCACCCAGTTCTTAGAGCCGTGGGCCTGGATTAACTCCTCACAGCCCATTGTTCAGGGTTCAAGGAGCCACCGCCCCCTCCTGGCATTCTGGTTCGACCAGGAGTCTGGGCGGCTGGGCGTGGCTGGGGCCTAATGAGCAGGGTGTGCCCCGAGGACTTGTTAGGAGCTGGGTGACAGCTGTAGGCAGGTCCCCACCCACGGTCGGTGGGCGGGCCGTCTTGCACAACCGTCACCTGCGCGAGGCACCACATGGCATCTTTGCCAAGGGTTTATTTTTAAAAAACAAACGCTCGTCTTTGGTGGTAGGGCTGGGAAATATTTCTAAATACTTAAAAGACATCTCACTAACACTTTTTAACACCCAAATCTACTGTTCAGGAAAGTGATGCAAGTTCATAGGGTTTCCAGCCCATTACGGGGATGCTAGAATGCCCAAGCCATAACTGGGTTCTTGTCTCCTCCAGCTAAGCCCTTGCCTGGGACTTTCAAAAGCAAGAAGCTTCTGCAGTCACTGGGGAATCATGGGCAGGGGCCTCACACCTTGGCCATCCCCCATGTCTGTGTCAGGATGAGTTCCCTGCTCCCTGGCTCTGTGTGGGCAGACACAGCTGCTGCTGGGCCACCTTGTCCTTTCGAGGGCTGAGCGTCGTTGGCAGGAGACAGGGCTTCCTGCGCCTGCCTGGTTTCCATAAGCAGCGCCGTCACCTAAGATCTCCAGCAGACCATGGAGTTCTGGACGAAATCAGTCCTCCAAGGAACGACCAGCCAGATGCAAGGGGCTGTCCATTTGCTACTGAGAGTCTTTAGGGGACACTGCACTGTTGTTGAGATGTTGTCCCGTGCCTTTCAGCACAGGTTGGTTTTGTGGGTATGTGGGAGTGGGTCCGTCGAGGACCATTGCTGAAATACCTGCACATTTCACCATTGCGTGTGCACCTGGAGTCTTGCCTTCCGGGTTCTGCCTGTCGCTGGGAGGCCTCCAGTTTAGAAATGGGGTTGGGGGATCAGAGGCCTCCAGGGGAAGGCTACGGAGAAGACAAGGACAGGCAGGCCTGAGGAGCTGTGGTGCTAAGAACGTGCTCTGGGACCTCCGGTGGATGCTGCTGGGTCTAGCAACACAGGGTGAGCATCTGGGGACACCAGACTTGTGGGAAGTGTGCGGCAGGGCCCAGAATCAAGGTTGTTCCTCTGGACTCTCTTTCCCATATCACAAGCGCCCAGCTTTGCAGTTCGCTGTGGCAGGCTCTGAGGTATGGAGATCAAACCTCCTTTGGGGGAGCTCTTGTCAGCCCAACTTCTGATCTAGCTCCAGCCCAGTTCTCTCTTCCGAGTCCCAGACCCGGTAGAGCTGACTTCTCTTGCCTCGTCTTCTCAGGGCCGTGGGTGGGCACCATCGCCCCTAAGGAAAATGCCCATGGAATACAATGCATACCTCTTCCCTGTCTGCGCCCCATGCCCCAGTCCCTGTACTCCAGACACAATGGCCCCCTGGGCTTCTAGGACAGTCTATGCTCATTGTGCCGGATATCTCTGCCATTCATGGTAGTTGCTGTTCTTACCTCTATTTTTCCAATTTATTTCAGAAAGATTAAAATCCCACCTTCCCTCTTCTGGGGAGCACTCTTCATCTAGGCCATTAAAAGCTGTCTCTGTGGAGGAAGTTTCCATTTCCAGCAAGGGAAGGAAGGGGATTGTTGGAAAGACTCAGAGGCTGATTCTTAGGGCAGGTGACAGCCATAATTGGAGGCGTCGAGAATAGAAAATCTAGAAGTATCTTCAGCCTTACAAGTAAGACAGTTCTATATTGTGATGAAAGCAATGAGGTGATGGGGGAAGAGGCTATGCCCAATTTAGTAGGAGAACTTGGGCAAGTCCACTCTCCATTCTGAGCCTCAATTTCCCCATCTGCAAAGTGAGAACGATGAATCCCACCTCTCAGGGTATTGTGAGGACCAAATGAGGTATAACCCTTGCGAAAACTTTAACACGGACCCGGCATGCGGGGGATGCTTAATAAATGCCAGCTCTCTTTCCCCTTCTCACAAGGCAGCCATCCACGCCAAGCGCCCCGAAAGCATGTACTTCCCCCCGGGCACTCAGGACCGGTGAGAAGGTAGGGGGCCCCATCAGCAGGATGATGGGGATGGTAAAAACTGGGGCCCTCATGCTTGCCTCCTAATGAGCCTGAGTTAATGAACAGCATGATTCACGATTCGCTGCTTCTCCAGGGTGCCCTTTCTGTGTGCCTTCCTCCCATCTGGGCTCCGCAGCTGCTGCCACCCCCATTCCACTGACAACATCACTCCTCAGCCACGCAGTGGGCCTGGACGTTAGCCACATGTGGGGGGTCGACTCTCGTTCGGCCCTGCCCCAGCCTGGCTCCCAGACAGGCAGAGCCAGAGGGGAGTCCTAGCCAGTGCTGAGGACCTCAGCACAAAAAGCCCTGTGCTCGTGTCTGCCATACATATATGTATATTTTTTTAACAGATGACAGACTTGGCCAAGGCCACGTAGGGTGTTACCTGTGGAGTCCAGGCTCATCACGCCCCCTCACCTTCTTCCTTCCTTGGGCCCCGCCACAGACGACACACACCCGAGGCAGGGCCTGCTCCTCTTGGCACACGCAAACCTCTAGGATACTGACTGGGCTTGTGGGGCCAGCTTCTCAGGAAATGGATTCATAGGAGAGGTCTCCTGAACCTTCCAGCTAATTCTCTCTCTGTCCCCTGGGGAGTCAAGGTGGGCAGAGACTGAAATTTAAACGGTCCATGATGTTCTTTAGCCCCAGAGCCAGGCAGCCCTACAGAGAGGACTTCACGTCCACAGGGGCACCTGCTCACTTCTCCACTGTCCCCAGCACACCACCCATGTCTGCCACCATGACACTGGGCTGATGGAGAAGATGCATGCTGAGTGCAGAGGCATAGCAATGACGGAAGTAGAGAGCAAGGTCACGACCTCTGGAATATTCGAGACCCCCTCCCCCAACCACACTTTCTCCTGAATGTCTGCCAAGTGAGCAGGATGTTGGGCATTGAGGCCAGGCTTGCAGAGTGACCTCGTCCTCTGCCTGGGACAGAGGGGAGGATGGGCAGGACCCTCCCCATCCGGGAGGATGGCAAACATGTCACATGATAAGTATGGACCATAGGGCTTCAGGGCTCAGGGTCCCCACCAGCCAGCCCCACCACTGAGCAGGCCTGCAGGGCCCAGAGGGCAGGATGTGGGAGGAGCCCAGTCACCTTGACCAACCCTCCCTGACTGTGTGAGGTGGGGTCTGGGCCCAGGGAGTGGGGTGGGAATGAGAGAGACCCTAAAGACCCAATATGAAGACACAAGAAATGAGGCTCTTTAGGGTAGGATTCATCAGAAAGTTGTTCCGGAACTTCTCTTCCCTAGTAGTACGAGCAATATCAGCATTTGAGACCTTCCCTTCAAAACCCATCATGGTGCAATCTGGAAAGCCAGGACACTGTTGGGGGACACTCACTGCCAACAGTCAGATAGCAGGTGCCCCGAGAGCAGCATCATGGCAATACTTGCATGTTATATTTTATTTCCTATTGTACTGTTTTGTGATCCAATGTAACCTGTGATTTACCTTGGCCCTTCTGTTTCAAGAGGCCACATAAATATTATATTAAGAAGTTAAGGGGCTCCTGGGTGCCTCAGTCGGTTAAGTCATGATCTCACGGTTCGTGGGTTCTAGCTCCGCGTCGGGCTCTCTGTGTTCTGTCGGCTCGGAGCCAGCTTTGGATCTTCTGTCCACCTCTCTCTCTGCCCCTCCTATGCTTGTTCTCTCCCCACCCCCCAAAATAAATAATACTTTTAAAAAGAAAGAAAGAAATTAAGCTGTGTGTGTTTGAATCTTCATGAACAAGGTTTGCTAGGTTGTGGTAGCATGTTGTGTTCATTTTTATTGTAAAATACACATAACATAAAATTTACCTTATTAAGTTCAGTCGTGTTAAGTATATTCATATTGTTGTCCAACTGATCTCTATAATTTTTCGTTTTGCAAAACTGAAACTCCATACCCATTAAACACAACTCCCCAATTCACCCGCTCCCTGGCCCCTGGCAACTGTTTTTTGTTTTTTTTTTTTATTGAGGTGTAGTCTACATACTGTGAATGCATAGATATTAAGTGTAAAACCTGATGAATTTTGACAGATGACCATACATACCTATGTAATCATGTATCTAATCAAGGTACAGCATATTTCCATCATCACACAAAGTTGCCATATTTCTCATTTTTTGTTTTTCAGTCTTAATTATAATCATAGTCACCTTGTGATAATGATTTCCAGAACATTAGATCCCCAGAACTTTTCTGTCAACACCCACCCCCCTGTCTCAAGGCCACCAATGTCTTGATTTCTATCTTCATGGATTGGCTTTGCCTGTTCTAGATCTCATAAAAACGGAATCACCCCATACGTATGCTTTGTGCTTCTCTTTCTTTCAACATAATATTGAGGTTCAGCCATGTAGCATCTATCAGTAGTTTATTCATTTCTACTGCTGAGTAGCATACCATTATATGAAGATAACATAATTTGTTTATGTGCCCACCTGTGGATGGACATTTGGGTCATTTCTAGTGTTTTGCTGCTATGAACAAAACTGCTATGAAACTTTTTGGACAATTTTTGTGAATATGCATTTTCAGGTTTCTTGGATAAATACTTGGGAATGGCATCAGTGAATCATAAGGTAGGTGTATATTTCACTTTGTTAGAAACTGCTAGTTTTCCAAGATGGTTGTACCATTTTATGCTCCCGCCAACAATGTATGAGTTCCAGTTGCTCCATGTCCTTACCAGCGTTAGGTACTGTTGCTCTTTTTAAGTGTGGCCATTCCAGTGGGTGTGAAATGTTATTGCACATTTCCTAACACAAAGATGTTGAGCAATTTTCATTTGGTTATTGGCTACTTGTAATCTTTTGTGACCTGTCAGGTCAAGTCTTTTGCTCTCTTTCATTTATTGGGTTGATTTTTTTTTTTAATTTTTTTTTCAACGTTTTTATTTATTTTTGGGACAGAGAGAGACAGAGCATGAATGGGGGAGGGGCAGAGAGAGAGGGAGACACAGAATCGGAAACAGGCTCCAGGCTCCGAGCCATCAGCCCAGAGCCCGACGCGGGGCTCGAACTCACGGACCGCGAGATCGTGACCTGGCTGAAGTCGGACGCTTAACCGACTGCGCCACCCAGGCGCCCCTGGGTTGATTTTTTAAAAAAAATCTTTTTATTATTGATTTGTTGGCATTCTTTATATATTCTGGATACCAGCACTTTGTCAGATATATATATTGTGAATATTTCTTTGCAGACTGGCTTGTCTGTTTTCTTAACAGAGTCTTTGGATTGCAAAAACAATTTTTTTTTTATGAAGTCCAATTGATTTTTTAGTAATAGTTTGTGATTTTATGACCTGTTTAAGAAAACTTGGCCTTCTGTCAGGTCATGAAAATTTCTGTCTCTGTTCCCTTTTAGAAGCTTTATAGTTTTAGTTTGTGTGTTTAGGTCTGTGATCCACCTTAAAGAAATTTTTGAGTATGATGTGAGGTAAGGGTGATTGCTCATTTTTAAATATATGACTATCAAATTGTTCTAGCACCATGTAAAATTTAAAACTTTGCTTTACCCATTGAATTACTATGGTGTCTTTGTTGACAATCAGTTGGCCATACCTGTGTGCGTCTACTTCTGGACTCTTCCCTTGATCCCATTGTCCATTCTTATGCCAATACTGTATGTACTACCTTGATCGCTGTAGCTTAACTGCAGGTCCTAAATCATGTAGTGAAAATCCTCTATGGGGTAGCAAGTTTTTGAAATACCAACTCATTCCTTCCAGTATTTATCCTTCGCGCTTTTCACCACTCAAGCAATTATTTGCTGACTGCCAAGGGGAAGTGAGCACAATCCCAAGACACAGGGAAGGAATAAAGGGAGACTTTTTGGCTTTGGTTCTGAAGATCTAAGTCCTTAGGGGAATAGAGACATAAAGTTTGGGGAAAACAGCATGCTAGAGAGCACCACCCCCCATCCCTACCCTCTACTTCCAGTTAATAGCACTTCTAAGACTACAGAAAAATCCCCTAGGCTGTGTAGAAGGAATTAGAGCAATTACACACCCTTAAATCTGGGGTTAGGATCTCAGGAGCCATGGAGACCTCAAGGAGGCATGGGGCAGCCTTGTAGAGCCCCCCATCTCTGATGGCCCAGGAACAGCAGAATGAATGCTGGACCCTCAATGTGGCCTGGGGAGAGCTGCACCCGGAAGGGGCTGTGGGTCAGAATGATGACCCTCCCAGGAGAGGTTTGGACAGGTGGCCCTGCAGGAAGTCACCCCAGTGCTTTGACTCTCTGTAAAACTCTAGAAAATCAGTCTTGATGCTAAGAAAAGGGGGAGGGGTCACGAATCCACGGCAGTTAATGTTTTGCCACTCTGGTGGCAAAGATGTTTCAGCTGAGAAGAAAGAAATGTCTCTTAAAAACATCTCTGAGTTTACTGCTGAAGGCTTATTCTGGCTTTATATGGATCTTCTAACAAACTGTATTTAAATGACTAAGTCTAATGTTAATAAAAAGTGGGGAGGGGGCAGAAGACCCATCCTTTCTGATGGGAGAGGAGCTGGCTGAGAAGGATCTGGCGCCTGCCTCACTTGTGTTCCAGCCCCTGCCTTTAGGATCTCAGACTTCATCAAACAAATCATCCTCACAATATGTTCTTCTGCGTTCTAGTTTCTCCGTCCTGAAACACCCTAATAAAGTCCTTACATGTAATGCATCACTCTTGTCTTGAGCAATCTGAAGGACATCACGGTGGACCCCAAGCAACATGTTGATATCCTCACGGAGCCAAGCTCGAGGGTGAGCCCTGTTCCCCACATAGGAGTGATCGCCTGGCAGCAGAGGCTCAGGGTGAGGACACCATCTTGCCCTGGTTGCAAAGGACATTGAGGTGAGGCTGCCTCAGCCTTCACTGTCCTGGCCTTCCTTTCCACGCCATCCGTGCCCCGACTCCACCCGTATTAGGTATGGGGAAACTGATGCTTCAGCCCTATTTATTAAGTGCCAGGACAGTCCAGTTTGTGTGCTGCTTTGCTTATATTAGAATGTTGAGCCCTTACCTTAACTCCAAGAATGTGAAAATTGGCATTTCAAGACGCGTTGAGTTAACACACCCCTTTGCTGTGATCCCATTTCCACCAAAGGCTCAGAAGTGGGACACACCGAAAATGGAAAACAGACCAAAAATGCCTGCTTGACTGGCACCACGGATTAGGGTGTGCAGGAAAGAATAAACACACAAGCACACTGTAGGTCGGGCCCTGGATTAGGGCCCTTTCAAAGCAGTCCAGGCTAGACTGCCAAGTTCAGGTTGCCCTGGGCCATGCTGTGCTGTGGTGAGGCCAGGGGTGCTTGGGTCAGAGAAACACAGGGTCCTAGAGCTCAGTGTGAGCCCCTGCCCCCACTGCCCAGGCCTCCCAGAGAGGCATTGGGGCAGTCACCCCAAGCTGAGAAGGCGGCCATCACTCAGGGGTTGGAAACAGGGAAATCGGTCAAAGGACTTCTGGCTCATTGCTAAATCAAGCCGAGCTGCTCTTAGGGTCCCGTGACCCCCTTTCCCCCAGAATGGACTCTTGGCACATGTCTAAGTGGCCCTGCTCAAGGGAGCACTGAACTCATTTACCCTGCCAGCAGTTGGGCCATGACGTGCTCGGCCTCTTACTCATCCTGAAGTCATCAGTCATGTTTCCAGGAGTGTGAGTAATTTGGGGAGGGTGGGGGAGGGGGAGAGGGCTCCCAGGTGGGGGTGGGAGATGTCGAAGCGGCCATGTGGCCCAGATGAGCCCTCAGCCCTCTTACTCCGAAGCTGGATATGCATCCTTAATCTGCTTTCACGTGTGGAGTGTGTGTGTGTAAATGTGGGCAGTTTAAGGAAACTAGAAACCAGAACAACAGGGACTTCCCCCTTCAGCCCCAGGCAGCTGAGAAAGTGTGGTAGCCCAGAGGAGGGTGCCGGTTCAGTGCCTTTTGGACTTCTTAATAATATATAAACTCACATCAGTCTAACACTCTATTCCATTTGTCCCTCTGTGGGGACTGAAGCTCAGAGAGGTCTGGTGGGTGCAAATGTCCCACCACTGGGAAATATCAGAGATGGGAGTAGAATCCAGATGACTCGACTGGTCTAGACGCTACACTTCTGGACCGTGAAGGCTTCCTTTGACCAGAGGGCTTTGTCAGCCTTTGGGCTTTGTTGTTTTCTGCAAGATCAGTTTTCCATAGCCGGGCTCAGCCCGGACCTGATATTTGTCCCCTGCTACTTTCCGACACCACATTCTCACAGAGGTCCCAGCAGTGGGGGTTACGGGTGAGGTCCAATCCCGGATCATTTCTCCCTCCTGCTCTCAGGTTTGGCTGTCTTAAGGGTGGAATGTGTTCCAAGGCAGTGACAACCCTGTGCCCGAGTTTCTTACATTTCCTGGCATACTCGCCTGCCCGAGGATGGTTGTGATACATCCTTCATTCTCTGGTAGAAGAAACCTGGCAGAAAACACACCTGGAAAAGAAACTTCCATTTTGTGAGCACCTACTATGCTCCTGGACATGGTGCTATGTTTTCCATGTATTATCTTTTTGGATCTTCACAAAAATTCCCTGTATACTACACAGGTAATATTATCCACGTTACACAAATGAGGAAACTGAGGCTTCAGAGGTTTATAACTTGGGCTCCATCACCCGACTAGTGAGCGAGGGAGGCAAACTTCGAATCCAGATCTGACAGCTGGCTCCATGCTCTCCATTGGATCATCCTGCTGCGGAAAGTCTACACCAGCCTGGGGATTACAGCCTAGAACACCTCATCTGGGCTGCTAACCTCAGATAGAGATCAAAGAGACATTGTCATGGGAGAATGGCTTTTTGAGATCAGAGCCTCTTATCAGTGGAATTGTATTTCACCCCCCTTCCCCAAATTCATATGTTGAAGTCCTAATGTGACTGAATTCGGAGACAGGGTCTTTAAAGAGCTAATTAAGTTAAAACGAGGTCATCTGGGCCCTAATCCCATGTGACCGGTATCCTTATAAGAAGAGATCAGAACACAGCCACAGGGAAGGCCATGTGAAGACACAGAGAGAAGGCAGCCATAGGGAAAACCAAGGGGGAGAGCCTTCAAAACTCCTGAAGACACCTTGATCTTGGGCATCTCTCTCCAGAACTGTGAGAAAATAAGTATCTGTGTTTAAGCCATCCGGTCGGTTATGGCAGCCCTTCAAATGAACTCAGAGCCCCTTTTAAAAATCATCTTTGTGGGGCGCCTGGGTGGCTCAGTTAAGCATCCAACTTCAGCTTGGGTCATGAACTCGCAGTTCGTGAATTTGAGCCCCACGTCGGACTCTGCTGATAGCTCAGAGCCTGGAACCTGCTTTGGATTCTCTGTCTCCCTCTCTCTCTGTTCCTCCCCTACTTGTACTCTGTCTCTCTCTCAAAAACAAAGATTTAAAAAAACTTTTTAAAAATCATCTTTGTGTTCCTAGCTGCTGCACACAGCAGGCATCGAATCCATGTGTGTTGATTGGCTGAAGGAAGGAAATGCCATGAACCCTGTGCCTCTCCAATAGAAAGAATTCAAATTTTGATTTTTGTACCAGCCTCTGTCCTCCTGTTGAAACTTCCTGTTTCTGAGGAACAGAGATTTTTACAGATCCCAGAGGACATCCAGTAAACCCAACAGCTATTACCAAATAATTCTGGTTTTGATGAGCTCAGCGGGTATGAATCAGAAACAGGCAGAGTGGCGTTTCCTTTGAAATATACCCAAGGTTTAACGTTAGAGGGGAGAAGCGAAAATGTATTTGGGAATTTATTGCCAGCAAGGAAATATTGGCAATATTTCCCCCCAGGCCAGCTGGAAATGGTCTTTCCTTCCTTCTGTGTGGACAGGAACCACCATGGGCCTGAACAAGGGAGATGTGGCTATTGCTCACACAGAAACAATCCCTTGGTATCCGGGGGCCCATCCTCATGGTTCTTACCTGGATCTCCTTTTTTCAAAAGAGAATTCCAATGGGGACGGTCCTTCCTGGGAGCCCTCATCATCTTGGTGGGCTGTGGCCTCACTTCCCTCAGGAGAACCCCCCCCCCCGTAGCTTCCCCCCCAGACCTGGAGGTTCAAGACAGTGAGGGAGCACACAGCTAGGAGCTGCCCAGCCCTTGACTAGGGAGCCAGGATTTCTGGATCTGTGATGGGAGCAGATAGGGCATGGCTGAGAGGGCCCAGGCTGAGTGGACCCTACATCACAGGGAAGCCTAGCTTAAGGGCACCCTGTGAAACCGGCTGTGGCCCAGAAGGAGCTGTAAAATATCCTGGAAAGTGAGTTCAACCAGGAGGTCGTAAGGAGGCCTCATGGTGGCCAGCTTCGGAAGCTGTGACAGCCCTGGCTTCTGATCCTGGCTCTGCCCGCTTCTTGGCTGAGAAGCCAGGGCCAGCTCATTGCCTCAAGTGCCTCAGCCTTTCCGTCCGGCCACTGGGGGACACCTCCGAGGGTCGCTGGAGGTGGTGTGGGGGATGCTTGGTGGCACCTCCAGCACAGGCCAGACCCCTGTAAGAGTTCCATCCCTGAAACCCGTCCTGTCTCCTGAGCAAGCCAGGCATCGGTCTATCAGTCACTTGCGGAACCGCATGAAGAGTCTCCTCTCCCAAGGAGGGGGATCTGACCACACTCTCCCAGGTTTTCCCCGTCAGGGGGCCTCGCCACCTGGAGACGGCCTCTGAACTCCTTTAGGACTTCTTACCTCTTCCTTCTTACCTCTTCAAGCTCATTTCTCGCTGCCTCTCCCTTCACCCTCTCAGGAACTACTTACAGTTCCCCAAACCTTCCCTCCCACCCTCCGTGCCTTCAAGCACGAATCTCCTTCCTGTGCCTGAAACTCCCTACCCCTCCCTCCTTCCCCTTCCTCCGTCTGGCTTCTGCCTACTCCTCCCACGGGGACTTATCCCAGCCGGCTGGCCCTTCCCTGGCCACTCCCTCTGAGAGGAGACTTGCCTCCCCCCACCTCCCTGCATACCTACACCCTGCAGGGGAACTTCCCTTCCGGCCAGGCCTGGATCCCCCAGCACCACCCCCCCCCACCCCGCCCCCCATCAGCTCGCTCTCCCTCCCTGCTGCCTAGTCCAGTGTCTCAAACATAATAACAGCTCCATAAACGTGTGTTGACAGAATTAATGACTTACTAAATGAAGGACTTCTGGATACAGGGGCCAGGCTCATAACTGAGTCACAGGGCCCCAGTCACCATGCTTTGCCCCCACCCACTGACCTGGGTGAAACACTCCCCGTGGTGACGTCACTAGCTACCCTCAATTCTCAGAATCACCTATGCCTTCTTTCTTCTCCTTTCACTCCCGTCTGCTTCTCAGCCCCCTCCCCCTCCTTCCGCCTCTTCCTCCTCTGGGGGCGGCACCTCTAAATAAGGCCACACTCCCCCAGGATCCGTGAATTGTCATGATTTTCACCCAGTCACGACTCCCGGGTAATGGGGACGTAGAGCCATGAGATGTATCCCCAGATGAGAGATGGGACAGATAGGATCGCTGTGGGACACCTAGGGTTGGACAGACACAGACAGACCCCGTTGTAAACATGGGGCTCTCGTGCTCTCCGGCTAACGGAGGGGGCACCCAGGAGGACATAGGTGGGGGAAGGAGGAGGATGTTTTTGTTGTTTTTTTTTTTTAATTTTTTTTTCAATGTTTATTTATTTTTGGGACAGAGAGAGACAGAGCATGAACGGGGGAGGGGCAGAGAGAGAGGGAGACACAGAATCGGAAACAGGCTCCAGGCTCCGAGCCGTCAGCCCAGAGCCCGACCCGGGGCTCGAACTCACGGACCGCAAGATCGTGACCTGGCTGAAGTCGGACGCTTAACCGACTGCGCCACCCAGGCGCCCCAAGAGGAGGATGTTTGACATGGGGTGTGGCCTCTTAAAGCCTCCACATTCCAAGGCATGTCTGGTTCTGGCCAGGGTGTGGGGGGGCACCACCCTCGCCCACACACTCACGCCTGGCTGCCTACTGCCCCTCGGGGAGGGCGGCCACCCTGCCCCAACACCACACAGATGATCAGGCAGGAGCCCAGAGGGGACTGCTCCGGCCACGGGCCCCAGCCATCCTGGGGAGACATCTGTCTCTTTCATTTCCTTTTGCCCCTCCTTTCCTTTTCCTTAAGACTCCCCCCATTTCATAAAATATTGGGTTGTGTTTTTATGTTTATTTAGTTTTGAGGTAGAGAGCATGCGTGGGGGGGGATAGAGAGAGAGTGGAACAGAGGATTCGAAGCAGGCTCTACGCTGATAGCAGAGAGCCTGACGCAGGGCTCGAACTCACAGACCGTGAGATCACGAGCTGAGCCAAAGTCGGACGCTCAACCGACTGAGCCACCCAGCCCCACTTTTCACACTGCATTCCAGAGTCTCCGTGGAGGGAGCCCTGGAGGGCAGGGGGAGTGCCCATCATCCCTCTCCCAATCTCCAGTGCCTAGCACAGGATCTGGCCAAGTAGGGCGATCACATAATTTATCATCCAAACTGGGACACTTCAAGAATGAAAGGAGGCTATTAATAATTATGTCAGGACAACAGTTGTACTCTGGGACGAAAGAATGAGTGAATGAATGAATGAATGAATGATCCTTTTTCTTTTTGAAATGCTTCTTTATTTATTTTCAGAGGGAGAGGGAGGAAGAAAGAGAATCTCAAGCAGGCTCCATTCTGTCAGCACGGAAACCGATGCGGGGCTCCGTCCCACAAACTGTGAGATCATGACCTGAGCCGAAATCAAGAATTGGATGCTTAACCGACTGAGCCACCCAGGCGCCCCTGAATGAGTGATTCTTGAAAAGGTTGAAACTGTTGGCATGGAGGTATCCATGGCTGCCTACATCCATCAATGTCACTGTCAAACAGAAGGTTCAGCCGTGTGTATCATGCGTACCACATTTCATTGCAAGGTCCGTCTTTGTTCTTCTCTCACGGACAAGGACTCCTGTGACAGAGGGAAAGCTGGGCTGGGGCTAAAGGGCCACGCTGGCGCTGCTCTGGGCGTCCTCCACTGTGAGCACTGCTCGCTGTTCACTTGGGTGCCAGGCCCTGAGCTGTGCACTTTATGTTCGTCATTGCATTTAATCTTACACCAGCCTTACGAAATAGATCTTCTGAGTACCTTTTGCAGGTGAGTCATCTGAGGCTTAGAGAAATTAAATGACTCGCCAACCGTCACCCAGCTACCAACATCAGAGCTGCAACCCATGCCCAAGTCTGTTGGGCACCAAAGCACTTCTAACATTCCCCAGGCCTGCCCTTGGTGCAGCCTTCTCAGGGAGAGGACTGAAGATAGATGCCTGGGGGCGTCCTGTTTAAGGAAGCAGACGTGCTCGCCCCTGCTCTGGGCCTTGGTGCCCCAGCAATCTCAGACCCACTGCTGGAGAGGAGTCATCTGGGCCGGGGCCAGGGTTTTGTCTGAACGGGAACAGTTTGTCCCCCTGGAGACCAATCTTGCGTCTGATTGTGATTGCGGGGCAGAGTGCTGGGTGGGGCAGTGGCCAGGCCAGGATGGTGAGATGTGGGCTCTTTGCGGGCCACAAGCCTTCTGACCCCTCCAAGGGAGAGGACACTGAGGCCTGAGCATTGTGCCTGAGTTCTCAAGGCTAGTGAGAGTGGGTTAAGGAGGAGAAGGCCGGTCCCACCACCACCCCCCCACACACACAACCAACCAAGTGCTCTATCAGCCCTTCTACCTCCTGTCCCCTGTCCTCCTCACTCCCACACCCACCCCTTGGAGGGCTGAGGAGTTTCCTTGATACCTGGCCTGCTCGTTATTTTTTCCAGAACGACCACCTGCAGCCCAGTCCCAGGCCTCATGGTCTGAGGCCTCCAGCCCAGGGTGAACCATACTGGATCCGACATCCTGGGGAAGAGGCTGGCAGGGGCCTGGCCAGGCTGAAATGGAAGAGACAGAAACAGTGCCGGGACCCCTCCTCCCTCATAGGATTCCCAGGTCCCTGGAGGGAGAGGGCTCTGTCTGCTCAGGAGCTGGGCTGGGTGGATGGGGGGTGGAAGAGGAGGTGGGCCAGGCTGGATCTAGGCCAGGAAGGGGCTCAGCCAGGGCTCTGTTGGGTACTCTCCCAGCTCACCCCCCACCTGCCGCCTCTGCTTTCCCAAGACTGGCCTTGCAGGGCTGCTGGGCCCTCTGGAGATGCGAAGGCCAAGCACAACTGACTGGCGCCCTCTAGTGTCCGCCTGGCAACGCCCGGGTGGCTCTCTGGGGAACAGGTGCATCACACACAGCTCCCCGGCGCC